TTTTTTTTTTCATATTGAACACAGAAACAGTTCAAAAGATGTTTTTAGCCGTAAAAGGTATGCGTTAATGCATGCAAATCAAATTTCAAATTCAATCTCTCTAAACTGCACCCTTTCCTTATTCACCGTTCAAATCAAAAATCAAATCATATCATGCACATTCGACACGAATGCGAATATTTTCCGCACAACCCCTTCTTCATAACACAAGTAATTGAGGTACATACTACATACTCGAATCTGAATTGCTAGAACATTCACGCCCAACCGAACGTAAGTAATTTTTCCGCAATCTCTAAGCTACGAGTATTTCGCCATTTCGCAATATCATCAATTCGAACATTTCCGCACCTCAATCACATCGCTCATGCAAGTTGAGCGAATATTGGCAAGAGCCCTTTGAAAGTGGCAAAGTAGAGTAAGAAATTGTATATCTTTTTTGTTGACATGCAAGGATTTGACTTTAAATCGAAATCGCATACACACATATGAACATATCTACATTCCTATGGAAGTTTACGAATACAAACGAGTGTGTGTAGCGTTGTTTCGCTCGTAAATGCATATCCTTTTTGAGTGCCGCGTATTTTCTGGGCATCTGCTTTACTGTCAGTTTCCTGTTTCGTATGCTTATCAGAGCTGTCGTGATTTGTCTTCAAAATTGCAATTTCTTCGCATCAAGTTTTGTTTTATTTTGTATTTTTTCCATTTTTCGCTTCATATGCTATGATGGAATTTACATATCTTGTAGGCAAACAGGGAGGCGAAATATACAAGAAGTAGCAAAAATATGAAAATACTCGTAACAAATATGCTTGTCATAATAATGCGCTGTCAAATTTGACAATTTATACTTGAGCGGCATCAGCAAAAAAGGATTAAATGCTCTTAAATAGGCTTTCGTAGGCAAGGCCTAAAGTGCTTAGCACACGCAAGGTCCTAAGTGTGGCGACCAAGTGATGGAGTGCATTTGTTTTTTTTTAGAAAATTGACATTTTGCAAGTACAACTGACATAAATACGCGCACGGTTGCGGTGAAACATGTTTTAAGCCGCTATAGGTTTGGGTTGCGAGATCGACCTCATACCATCGATATCGATTTTTATTTAAGCTTAAATAAGTATCGAGGTTGATAAAATACCGGACTAAAACCATCTATGATTAAAGCATCGATATTTCATAGGCATTTGAAAGTGTCAAATGATTGAGCACAATCTTTTCAGCCCTGCTTTTTTTACAAGGAGATAGCATCGAAAGCCAGAACCACGTAGTGTGAAACTTAAATCCGAACTGCAACTCCGGATGTCCGCTGTACTGTAGAAAAAGAGTGCCCTCTAAAGCAGACGTGCCGACTTAGAAGTTGAGTGATATTAAAGTCCATGTTTCCCTGCCAGTCAACTTTCTATGTGTGGTATGAGCCTGTGCATCCATCGACCGCTATTGGAGTGGTCCCATCGGTGTTGCCACTATTCCATTGCGCGACACCTAGCTAGCGATTTTCAGAACTTTCCGTGGGGATCGCCATGATTTTAGTTGTACATTTCTTGGACCAAGAGTTCGATGGGATGCAAACCTGAGATTACCAGTGCATCTTCCCACACCATTCGAAATTCCGAGCAGACTCTTAGGGCGCAAAGGCCATACACTGATCGGATTCCCTTGATACACAATAGCGTTTCACATTAAGTTGGCCAAACATTCGACCTGCAGAGAATTCCGTACTTCAGACCACCAGCTAGCAACTTCCTTACGTTCTGTGTTGGCCCTCTTGTGTTAAGTGTAAGTCTTGACATGTTCCTTTGGTGGACACTGCTTTTTCGCAAATCTAGGTACTTGAGCAAGGGTTTCGACTGCTTTGTGAATCCTTTAACTCTTATTTCTGGCTGCTCTCTGAATCTCCGTTTGCATATTAGTAGCAGCTCTGTTTTATTCTAGGCCACCTCTTTGGACAGTACATAATGTTTTTTTTTTTTTTAAGTAAGGGCAGTAAGTAATTTGAGGCACACCTATATTTTATATACGATTCTATTCGTAGTCTCTTAATTAATCGGCAAATATAAGTGTAATTCATTTTCATCAAGTGCTTCAAAAGTCAGACGAGGAATAAACGTTTAGATCGCCGAAATAGAAAAAAAAGAATAAGTTGGGTTCAAATTGGGCGGTGCAAGTTGTAAATTTTGAGAAAAGATTTTGAAAGTTGAACTCACTTAACTTCATATCTGAATAATAAATAAATGCGTAAAGTGGACCAATACCAAATTTTTAGCTGCATAATTGGAGGAGTTATAACGCAAAACAACTTCTCTGAACAATCAGTTGTATGGGAGCTACATGTTATAGTGCATCGATTTTGATGATTTTAAGAGATAGAGAATGCAATATTAAAATACAGCCGTTTGTAAAATCTTAGTAAATCATCTTCAAAACTGAGGGAGTTTTTTTCTTATAAAATGGTTAAATTTTAAGCAAAGTTTCAAGTACCGCTACCTCGAAAAGTGAAGCCAAGTTCTGCCAATTTGCGGGTAATGGAGTACATACCAAATTCGTGCAAAGGACATACAAAATGACAGTTAGAAACTTATGCGAAGTTATGCGAAGCATGCATAATCAGACCATAACGCTTGCCATGTCCTTAAACGTGCATGTATGGACCAAAAGATGAATATATATGTATGTCGATTTCTTAAAATATAACGATAACTAATATTGTATATTAAAACGATAAACAATATATAGATTTAAAGCTTGGGTTATGTCGATAAATATCTCGAAAGTTGTACCGGCAGCAGTGTTTATCAAAACCGATAGAGAATATCTGACCAATCTGACATGAAGAAGCCACTACTACAATCTTCATACATAGCATAGTTAATACTGGGAAGCTATTGGGGCACTCAGACAATTCGCTTAGGACCACAATTGACTAAGAAGTAA